GTGTGTGTGTGTGTGTAACCAGTGGTTTCACTATTTGTATATGTGTGTGTGTGTACGTGTGTGTGTACGTGTGTGTGTACGTGTGTGTGAGTGTGTTTGTGTGTGTGTACGTGTGTGTGTGTGTGTATGTGTGTGTGAGTGTGTACGTGTGTGTGAGTGTGTTTGTGTGTATGTGTGTGTGTACCTGTGTATGTGTTATGTTCCCTTGCCTGGGACCTGCTGAAGTGCACACCACACACATGTGTGTGTGTGTGTGTGTGTGTGTGTGTGTGTGTGTGTGCATGTCTGTTGTGTGTACTGTGTGTGTGTGTGTGTATACATGTGTATGTGTGTGTACGTGTGTGTGTGTGTGTTTGTACATGTGTGTGTGTGTGTGTGTACATGTGTATGTGTGTGTACGTGTGTGTGTGTGTACGTGTGTGTGTGTGTGTAGATGTCTGTGTGTGTACATGTGTGTGTACGTGTGTGTGTGTGTGTATGTGTGTGTGTACATGTGTACTTGTGTGTATACATGTGTGTGTGTGTACGTGTGTGTATGTGTGTGTGTGTGTGTGTGTGTATGTGTGTGTACGTGTGTGTGTGTACGTGTGTGTACGTGTGTATGTATGTGTGTGTGTACGTGTGTGTGTGTGTGTACGTGTGTGTGTACGTGTGTGTGTACATATGTGTGTACATGTGTGTGTGTTTATGTGTGTTTGTATGTGTGTACATGTGATCTTCCCTCCCCCAGGACCTGCTAAAGTACACACCACAAACACACCACGACCGACGCGCACTGCAGCTAGCTCTGACAGAGCTGGAGAACGTGACCCACAAACTGAACGAGCGCAAACGACACAGCGAGCAACGCTTCCAGGCCCAGCATGCCCTGCAGCTCTTGACACGTCAGAAGGTACAGCACCTGGTCTCTGCCTGGAACCTTGACCTTGACCCCAGGAGGAGACTACTCCGCACCGACACGGTGGAGCAAGTGGTAGGTGGTGCTACAGCTGGAGGGGCGGAGCTCACCAACGAGGCTGTGTATGTGCTTGTCGCGTTTGTCTGTCCTTGTGTGTGTTTGTCTGTCCTTGTGTGTGTGTTTGTCGCATTTGTCTGTCGTTGTGTGTGTGTTTGTCGCGTTTGTCCGTCGTTGTGTGTGTTTTTCGCGTTTGTCTGTCATTGTGTGTGTGTGTTTGAACGTCGCGTTTGTCTGTCGTTGTGTGTGTGTGTGTGTGTTTGTCTGTTGTTGTGTGTGTGTTTGTCGTGTTTGTCTGTTGTTGTGTGTGTGTTTGTCGCGTTGTCTGTCGTTGTGTGTGTGTTTGTCGTGTTTGTCTGTCGTTGTTATTATGAGTACATCCCAGCACGCACGTAGCAAACATGCTCCACGAGAGACCTGTACCTGACAAAGGGGGCTCTGGTGGTCTAGACTAGTGGTCTAGACTGGTGGTCTAGACTGGTGGTGTTTGCCTCTCATTCAAAAGGTTGCAGATTCCAAACTGGACAAGGATCAACAATGTTCCCCTCTCGAATACTTCCATCTCCATTTTATGCTAGGACCCTCTTTTGGTACGCAACTTAAAAGTGATATGTACGTCACTAAATTGGTGAATAAATAAAAACAAATGACCCTATTTGGATAGTTCTTCATCTAATGAAAGAACTCCTGGCCTAAGGGATTTGTTTTCACCAATTTCCAAAAACTGATTTGACGTCGGTTGTCATGGAGGAATGTGTCGCAACCACTGCCACAAGGAGGGAGGGTGTGTGGTGGGTGGAACTGTGTGTTTTGTTCTGTCAGCTTGATCAATTCTATTCTTGGGTTGTTGTTTTTTCAGTATGGCGAGTTTGGGAACATGAAGTGCAAGGAACGAAGACTTGTCCTCATGAATGACCTTGTGCTGTGCGTCAAAGTGCTGGAGAAGTAAGCCTCTTTCTTGTACCGTTTTTTCCAGACAATGTGTCAGTATACCGTGGACTCCGTGTCAGGGTATTGGTATCACAGACTGTCTTCTATGTCAGGGTATTGGTATCTCTGTCTTCTATGTCAGGGTATGGGTATCTCTGTCTTCTATGTCAGGGTATGGGTATCTCTGTCTTCTATGTCAGGATATATGGAGCTATTGGTATCGTCATGAACCCTGTACCTTTATCTTGCTTTCAGTGGAGAAAATTCCCTTTTGTCTGGAATACAAGTTGAGATTTTTTAAATTGAGAGATTTTTAGCTGATAGTGAGTATGTAGGTTCTATTTATAGGATCAGATAAAGGCAAAAAGATGAGGATGAGTAACTTGTGGCTGGAACGTTTCCCTCAGGGAGCAGGCCGGCTATCGAGTGGAGAGACTGGCGCTACGCTGGATGGCCAAGCTGCGTGACCTTGAACTCAAGGACACAGCCATCACACCAGATATGCAAAGCGTTATAAAAAAAGAGCCGGAGAAAATCCAGATTCTGACATTGATGCCTGGTGAGTATCTGGGTACTATCCCCTCCTTCCATGGACACTCTCTTATGTAGACTGGAAGCATACTTTGCCTGGAAAACTTGGACCAAAACTAGAGAAGAATTGAAACCGAGTGACAGAGTGGGGCTTGTGCTTGGTTCTTGGACAGTTTTTCCTTCAATAATATACACACCCTTGTGGACCTTGGGGAGATTACTGTCTTCAGCTAATTGTCCAGAACCTGCGGTTGCCTGTGACTTGCAAAGTTGAGATTGTGAGGCCGGGGGTTCAAGCCTCAGCTCGATCCAATGTTGTGTCCTTGGGAAAGGCACTTTACACGAATTTCCCACTTGGCTCGGTCCTTTGGGAGATGGACGTTAAACTCAGAAGTCCCGCCTCTTAACACATTACGCCCTGAGGGCCTGGACGGGAAGTCCATTGTTAGATCCTAAGCAAGGGGAAGGAACCCACCTCCCGTGAATACAAACGTTGAAAAAACACATTTTAAAAATACTAAACAAATTCCAAAAATCCTGATAAAATAAAAGTTGAAAAAAAAACTGAATGTAAAATTTAGTTTCAGAAAAATATAACTTTATGTATGCGCAAATTGTTGGAAATGTTCTCACTTTCGTTCAATCGGGGTGTCCGACCCGTCACTCTCACTCTCAGCCTCGCGGTCGGGCCCTAGATCTAAATTCTAGATTTTCTACGTCTGATCAATCTGAATCGCCCCAAACTTTAGTTACAACGTTTTCATCAAAATCTGAGCCATCTGATTTGTCACATGCTTGTTTTTGCTCAAATCCATCGTTGTGTCCGTTTTTGAACTCAATTTTGTCGCTTTTCAACAAGTCGAGACACTTTCGAAGTGTGGGTAACGCGATCGCACTTTGATCAGCTCATTAATACTAAAACTGCTGGCCCGAAAAATTTCGTTTCAGTATCAAACGAAAGAAGAGACTTTTTGCTATGACTATGCAAATCAAAATCTCGGCCCCAGAGTCTCGTCAAGGTGAGACTTTGTTTCTAAAGACGCTTGGTCGACGCGGGCGGTTCCGGGCGAGTCAGGGTGGAGCGCGTAACCTAATAGTAGTAATAGTTTAAAGAGGGGTGTAAAATCTCTATCATTTTATCGTTTTCACCAATAACATGCCTAAAACTGCTCAGATGTGCTGTTCTGTTCGGCCTGTGAAGTAGAGACTGGAAGCAAAAGTTACTTCCCTGCCCATTGTGTTGGTTTGGGTGACATTTGGTGGAGCTCATGCGAGATCAGTGGACGGTGATACAATTCTTGGTTTTATTCCGATAGTTAATGATTTAGTGGAGTAAAATCCTGCTTGACCAATCAGCTTTGTTTGGGAGGGTAGGTGAGGCAAAAATATCGCTGGAATGTTGTTGTTTTTTTACTGTTCGGCTTGCAATTTCATGAGCAAATTTTGTTTGCATATAACAAGAACTTGGCCCAAGTCTTTCATTGACGTTAAATAGATAATAATTTACTGGTGGGCTAGAGGTGAAGAAATTAAGCATTTTCAGCCTCAGTCGGTTAAAAATATAATTTTGTGATGTGAAACTGAACATTTCAGTATTAGGAACCATGTTTTTAGAACAGGAATGCTTTAGCTGGTGAGATCATGACTCTGATCAGAAACATTATGTAGAACTGTGAGAGATTGTGTACATCTGTGATGTGAAGCGTTGTGTACAAATGTGAGACGTTGTGTGTGTGTGAGAGAGACATTGTGTGAGAGGCATTGTGTGAGAGACATTGTGTGAGACATTGTGTGAGAGACATTGTTTAGAACTGTTTCAGACAAGCCGGAGGAAGACCCGTTCCACCTGTACGCCGACCTGGCAGAGATGCTGCATGACTTCACCGTCCTGGGGCAGATGGCTGCACTCGTGTCTTCGCTGAAGCGATCCTATGGCGGACATGTGAGGACCTAGGCGGGTTATGGTGGAGGTGG